TATTTTCAATTTCAAAATTCTTGGTTTGACAAAGTTTGCACAGAGGCAACGAAGATGACTATTAAAAGCATCGAATCATTTATTAGAAATATACTATATTTTTTCTTTTTTCCTGTTTCTAATTGCAATCGTTGCAAGAAGGACAGATCTCTTTTCAAGCAAAATATTTAATTACCTTTTTTCTTATACATGCCTTGTAAAAATTTCACGATTTTTTAAAATTAAATCATATTCAAAGATAATCATTTTCAACAGGAAAATTATCCTATTATTTTATGTTACAACGAAGGCGATAATAAAAGCGCGGAATTGCACTTACAGTGATGGTCGCGACCGTGGAATTGATCGAGGCTCCCTCGCTCACTTGCACCTCGTACACCGATTGCTGGAAAACGGGGCTCCTCGTGTTGGGCCCGGGGATCACGTTCACCTCGACGATCGTCTGCGAATATTTTCCACCCTTGTCGGTCGCCTGGACCGTGATGCTGAACTGCTCGCCGGCGTTCAGCTTCCTCACGGATTCTATCACGCCCGTCCTCGGCTCGATTTTGAATTTATGCAGCCCGTTGTTCGACACGTGGTAAATGCTGTACGTTATCTCCGCGTTCTCCCCCTCGTCGTTGTCCGTAGCCTCGACCTGAATCGATATACTCGCGTCAAATTTCCATTTCATTCGTTTTCGAAACCAAAACTTATTCCGTTTCCCCTTCCTCGATTCCTCTTTCTTTTCGAATTTCGAATTTCTTTTATTTTTTTTTTTTTAGAGGAATAAAGTATAACAGAGAGAAGAGATTAATTCTCGACCTGAATCGATATACTCGCGTCAAATTTCCATTGCATTCGTTTTCGAAACCAAAACTTATTCCGTTTCCCCTTCCTCGATTCCTCTTTCTTTTCGAATTTCGAATTTCTTTTATTTTTTTTTTTTTAGAGGAATAAAGTATAATAGAGAGAAGTGATTAATTCTCGACCTGAATCGATATATTCGCGTCAAATTTCCATTTCATTCGTTTTCGAAACCAAAACTTATTCCGTTCCCCTTCCTCGATTCCTCTTTCTTTTCGAATTTCTTTCATTTTTTTTTTTTTTAGAGAAACAAAGTATAACAGAGAGAAGAGATTAATTCTCGATCTGAATCGATATACTCGCGTCAAATTTCCACTTCATTCGTTTTCGAAACCAAAACTTATTCCGTTTCCCCTTCCTCGATTCCTCTTTCTTTTCGAATTTCGAATTTCTCTTATTTTTTTTTTTTTTTTAGAGGAACAAAGTATAATAGAGAGAAGTGATTAATTCTCGATCTGAATCAATATACTCGCGTCAAATTTCCATTTCATTCGTTTTCGAAACCAAAACTTATTCCGTTTCCCCTTCCTCGATTCCTCTTTCTTTTCGAATTTCGAATTTCTCTTATTTTTTTTTTTTTTTTAGAGGAACAAAGTATAATAGAGAGAAGGGATTAATTCTCGATCTGAATCGATATACTCGCGTCAAATTTCCATTTCATTCGTTTTCGAAACCAAAACTTACTCCTTTTCCCCTTCCTCGATTCCTCTTTCTTTTCGAATTTCGAATTTCTTTCATTTTTCTTTTTTTTTTTTTAGAGGAAAGAAGTATAATATAATATAATATAAAACTCTTTCTTTTCGAATTTCTTTCATTTTTTGTTTTTTTTTTTAGAGGAACAAAGTATGATAGAGAGAAGAGATTAATTAAAAATAAAAGATTCGTGAAACGATACCTTCGTCACGACTTTCTTCGTTTCCCCAGCTTGGACGGTGATAGGTGGTATCATGGGTAGCATGGGTGCATTGTCGTTAACGTCGTTCAATATCACAACGAAGGACAATGGCGCAGAAGCGGCGACACCCGTTTTTTCTCTGGCGACCACTTGAAACCGGAAGCGGCCGGGGCTCGGCGGATCGCGGTCCAAATTCTCCTCGTTCACGACCAGCATCCCTGATGGATCGATCGCGAAAAAATTCGTGGTCAACTCGAAGGAGTAAGCTGGCTTCGGATCGTCGGGCCCCTAATAAAAAAGGTATATTTTGCATTAACCAATAATAAAATACATATATATATATTTTCTTCTTTTCTTTATCGCGTGATAAATTGAATAAATCGAACGAGAGAGAAGCCGCTCATATTTTTACAAAATGGATCGTCATTTAATACGAAATATTCGAAGTATTCAAACGTGGAATGTTTAAGGAATTTAATCACTTATTCGTCTTTATCTCGACGAATAATCAAGTGGCGCGACGAAGTTGCGACAACTTCACCAAAGACTCCAACCTTCGACCGCGAGTGGAATGCACTGAGAGAGAGAGAATTTTCGCGACAGTGGACGGATTTTGGGTCGAAATTAATCCACGAATATTTCGAAATTCTCACGGAACACAATTTCGAAATTTTATTTCTCGAATTCTCGACGAATCTTCGTCGTCTCTACCGGCCAATTATTCTCAATGATATGTGATAATTGGGAGAGGCTCGAATTGTATTGCGCAATCAATGTTATTGAATCGATTGGCGGAGTGATTGGCGAGCGATTTCGAAAGGAACGTTGTAAATATTCATTTTTATTCTCCTCCCTTTCACCGAGTTTTCCTTGTTTGTTTGTTTTTTTCTTCGTATACAGGGTGTTCATAAAAATGTGATTCCAGGCAACAAAACGTACGATCCGATAAGGATTTTTTAATTAACGAGAATTGCAAGCGAGAATCCCCCTTCTGCTGGCAGGTATCATATACAATACATATATTTCTTTATATACAATTGATTACTTGAAATGTATTTTCAGTGGTAATGTAACTATGCAACATTTTTTTTTATATCTTTAAGAGAAACAAAAATTTTAATTATGCAATTTAATTTTTTGTTTTCCATGCGAAAGAAAGTCAAAAAATCAATTCTCTTTTATAAAAGTATCCTACATTTTTATGAACACCCTGTATATAATTCAACGCTGAATATACGTTTCGACGCTAAGAAAAGAGAAATTAAGAATACACCGATATATTTCTTTACGTATAATTGATTACTTGAAATGAATTTTCAGTGATAATGTAACTATGCAACATTTTTTTATATCTTTAAGAGAAACAAAAATTTTAATTAAAGATATAATGCAATTTAATTTTTTGTTACTCGTTAATTAAGCCTTATCGGACGTAAGAATTTTTATTTCATCGTTTCGATGTGAAAAAGAGTCAAAAAATCAATCCTCTCCTATAAAAGTGTTTCACATTTTTATGAACACCCTGTATATGTTTCGACGCGAAGAAAAGAGAAATTAAGAATACACCGATATATTTCTTTACATGCAATTGATTACTTGAAATGAATTTTCAGTGATACGTATTTTTTTATATCTTTAAGAGAAACAAAAATTTTAATTATTTTAATTTAATTTTTTGTTACTCGTTAATTAAGCCTTATCGGACGTAAGAATTTTTATTTCATCGTTTCGATGTGAAAAAGAGTCAAAAAATCAATTCTCTCCTAATAAAAGTGTCTCACATTTTTATGAACACCCTGTATATACGTTTCGAAGAAAAGAGAAATTTTTTCTCGTGTTTACGGATTGAGATGACGTTAAATCGTATAAAATTTACGTAAGCAACGAGTAAGATTTTTCTTTATGTTGTATTAAATCGTATCAAGTCGAACTAGGATGTACACTAGGATAGTAATGAACTCTAATTATCAACACGAATGGATGTCGAAGTAAGATACTTCGTAGAGACAAATGTCCAATGAGGCGTAAATAGAGAGTGACGCGAAACACGTTTCAATTCAAGACAGCTCCGTCTCCATCCTCGTTTAATTGCTCCAAAAACCTTCGCGCGAGACGTTCCATCAAAGACAAATTTACTTTTGAAATTTTCTTTTTCTTTAATAAATTGACACGCTATATATATATTCTCACAATATTTTCATTATCCAATCATCTCATCCTTTATTAAACAATCAATCGATCGATAATATCCTTGAGCGATCGTTTTTCATCGTTCGAGAAATTACGAAAAATATACATATACAAACACAATATATTTATACAACTTGATAGTGATTCGTTTCGAGGAAAAAAAAAAAAAAATACACGCGTTTTGTTTTCGAACAAACGGATTCCAAAAAACGAATACATTAAAATGGAACGAGATCGAGCTTACCAGATCGGCGTCCGAAACGGTGAGCACTATAGGATCGCCATTCTTGTCGATAACCTTCGTCCCAATCGGAGCATTCTCGTCCACGAACCCCTCTATGCTCGAAGCCGTTATAATAGGAGGGTTGCTGTCCACGGGCTTCACTGTAATCGTCAATTTCGCTGTGGCCGATCGTTTCGCTTCTGACACTTCGACAGCCTTTTTTTCCCCCCACCAAATAAAGGAATGAATTAATTTCTTACATAAAAAAAGAACACAGAAAGAGCTTCTCTCTTCCCGTCGTTCTTTTCGATACTCGCACGCGTTTGCAAACACGTGTTGACTTTTGATCGACGTCGCACAGGTTTTTTTCTTTATAAAAGAAAATTGGATTAATCGTTTTCCAGCGCGGAGAAATAATTTTCATAATTTTACATAGCACGGAACATTGTAGATAATAGATATAATAACTCGAGAAAATTGCCAAGCTTCTTTGAAAAAGTTGCGACGAAAGACAGGAAAAAATAAATAAATAAATAAATAAATAAATAAAATAAAGACGATCCGCTTACCTTGATGATAATATCGAACCTCTTCGTAACCGTGGTATCGACCGCCTTGATTTGCTTCACGGCGCCTGTGTTCGGGTTTATTTCGAAAAATTCCCGATAATTCGGTGGATTGCCACTGAGGAACGAGTAATGGATGGGTGCGTTTATGCTGTCCATATCAACGGCTTGTATTTTCTCCGGCGATATATTAAGTATCCCGGATAACACTCCGCTCGATACCTGCGTAAGGAGGGAAGGGGAGGGAAAAAAGGCACAATGTATAGAGAGAACCGGTTCGTCGCACAAGATTTCGCATGAAAATCGGTCGTGTGTTATAAGGATCGAGGGTTGAACGTGGTGTTTCACTTTGCTTTCCAGCGATAACGCGCATTTGCATCGCGACTTGTTGCTCTCGATTTCTAATGGAGAAAGAGAAAGAGAAAGAGAAAGAGAAAGAGAGAGAGAGAGAGAGAGAGAGAGAGAGAGAG